CAGGGGGAAGGGATAGCTAGGGAAGAAGGGGAGGAGGGTCTTTGGGGGCCCAGGAGAGGGGAATCTTGCAGAGGTTTGCAAGGCTAAGGCCGGCTTGACCCCTTGCAGCTGGCCCCCAGGCAGTTCCGGGCAGCTGTTGTTGCCAGAAGCTCGATCCTCTGCAGGCTTTGGCCGGTCCCACTTCCAACAGTGGCACAGTGGGCTTTCTTTTTTACTAGACTGATACTCCAGCAGGTTGTTACTCCTACTCCTGTCCTGCAAGCTCACCCTCATTCTGCCTGTCCTTTGGGGCAGGATGGATGGCAAGCAGCTACCAAGAATGTTGACCTCATGAAATGATCCATGTCTTTTATGAAGTGGCTACAGTGGGGAAAAGAATATCTATGTATATATGGGTGTTTGTACACATATATGTATATGTGTCTGTTTACATATATATATATATATATGTAACTTAAAAAGTGACAAGCCCATGAGAGTATTTCACAGCTATCAGACAGGTTTCTATCTTGAAGCTCAGTGGCTTTTTCTGTGGTGATCAGGTGCTCCCTTCCTTAGTCTGGGGAAGTGTCACCAACTTTGAGACTTGTAAGAAGAGGTCCCCTGCTTGAGCTGTGGTTTCATCTATAAAATAAGCCCATTGAGGTGACTGGTACCTGGTAAGAGCCTAGGTCTTACATGGCTAGGGGTTAAATAGCATGAGTGTAAACCTCCAGCCTTCAGTATTTTCTTTAGTGCCTCAGGTTATAAAACAAATGTAGCTGTGAGCTAAATTAGTGGAGCTGTGTGCTTCCTTCAGAAACATCTGGCAGTGGTCAGTGCTAGATGGGGTCTGGGTCTTGATGGACCACTGGTTTTATCTTGTATGGCAGTTCCTGTGTTCCTGTGTGTGAACCCCTGCTGAGCTTGCACAGCTTTAGGTGGAGCTGCTCTTGCATACTCTAATCTGAGGCAAGAACTGCACTAAACAGATCCAGCACTATGAAGGACACTCCTGTATAATCCATCACACAGGAGGTGTTGCAAATGAGAGTGGATATTGCTGTGCCCACAAAATGTGACAACCTTGAAGAGCAGAGCAAGCGGCATTCCTGAAGACCTTGATGTACACATAAATGTACAAATTCCAAATTAGCTACCTTAAAAGAGAGAAGGGTCAGGTGAGCCTCGCCAGGATTTGTATCAATGGCTCTATAGCAAATGCATAGAGTGTACATTAAAGTCAAGCATCTGATCAATGAGTTTGATCCAAGGAGCAATATTGCCTTTTTCACCAGTAAACTTTAAGCTTAGTGATATAAAATAAAAGAAATTGAAGTCTTCCACATTTCATTTCTTCATCTTCCTTCTGTATCTCAGTTGCGTAAACAAAATTACTTTGCAGCTCCAGAAGACAATTTCATGAACTGCCAGTCACTATAATAGAAAAACTCAACATAAAAAAGATCAGTGCATGAGCAAAAAGGGAGAGCAAACTTTTCAGATTATTTTCCTTCTAAAGCTGGACTGGCAGAAGAACCAGAGTCAGTAGAGAATATTAAGACTGAAATTTAAGAAAGAACACATATTAAAAAATAAACCCCCAGCAAGGAAAGGAGAAAGAAAATATCTTCCCTCTAACTTTTGGGTAAGCTGTGTAGAAGGGTTGCCGTCTGTTGCTCCAAGATAGCAATCCTTCTCTCCCTGCTCCATCTTGTGCTTCCTGAGCTGCTGTGATCGCCTGTAGCATGTACACATGGTGGTAGGGAGCACAATGTAGTCCCACTGAGGAGCAGAGATTTATCTAGTTGTGCTTACATCTGCTGCCTGACAGCTACCTTAATGAATATGGTCTGGCATATTACAGGGAGACGGTTTTGAATGTGTAATCCCATTAAAGACACAAATTTGATTGTGAAGGGACCAGATATAATGAATAAAAGTTTGTTTTGCTTTTAAAAATAAGTTGACTGTTCTCGATAAGCTGTGAGGCATGGGAAAACATCTTAATATCTGAAGACCTTCTGGTTACTTTTAGGGCCTTCTAATAAAAGTGCTAAGCAGTGAATTGAACTTTAGTCTTAGGTCCTTGTAAAACAAAAACATCTCTTTGACATACAGCTTATGTCATGTTCATACACCATGTCTTTGGAATCATGCAGCTGAAAGCACAGCCTTTTCTAATAATTTGTCCCAAGACTGCTGCAAGCCTAAAGTGAAGCACATATGGGTGGGGTTTTGGGAGCATCTGGATTTGGGGTTCTTTTTTGGATGACAGCCTGAAAGTAGATACCGGCCCACAACTAACTCCCTTGCTCTATATGTTCCTCTGTGTTTCTGTCCTGTGTCTCCTGTGATCTGTAGCACATAAATCACAATATTGGATCACAACAGGCACTCCTCTAGGCTGGGATCCTGCTTTGCTGGAGCTACATCACCTGCTTCAGGAAAAGGAAGAAAATTGCCCATAATGACTGACTACACAATAACTTGTCTTCAGGGGAATTTGTTGTTTACTAATTCCATCAATTAGTGTTGGGTTTATGCTTTGAAGCAGAAAGATTAATATCTCTTGTATAATATATCTTGTCTACTGCATCTGTTTCTGTTCTCATTAGCTATAGCAAGGCATAATCCTTTTGTTTTAAAATGGAAATTTAAAACAATGAGAAGTAAGAAAAAATCTGTCGAGATTTTTGTTTATTTGTCCTGTCAGTTGTCACAGAGCACCGCTCTGCTCTTTGGGTGCCACTGGATGGTTTAGCATCATTCCCCCTGCGTTTCAGGTCTTTATTTCTAAGATCTCATTGCAATCCCTAAACACCTTGCTCCCTGCAGTCATGTTAGAGCTGGATAGGAAAGGGAATATCACCATGGTGTGCTCTGACATGTATTGTCCCATACAGCACCGGAAATCAGATTTGCTTTTTGCCACTGTGTCACATTACAAGTTGATGCCTGCTGTGTTGCAGCAAGCTCACCTGAAATCTTGTTCACTTTTATTTCTTTTTTTGCTACCAAATAACTCTTTGGAATTTGTTTTGCTCTACCGTGAGCTACTGTACAATTAATAAGATTTTATTTCCTTCTCATATTTTTGCCCTCTCTGGAACTTTTACATTATTTTCTGGCTCCCACTGTTACTTGCAATGATTCCTTATTAGTTTTTACCTGTAAATTTAATGATTGTATTGCTATTTGCGGTGTTTTCCACATTGTGAGCAGAAATCCTGGCCTCACAGTAGTCAGAGAGGGGTTTAGCATGGAGTTCAATAGAGCTGGGATTTCATCTCAACAGTGACACTGACCCATTTCACAGCACTTGAGAACTTCTCTGCAACTCATTACATCTCAGTTTTTAAAGGTTTATCTGCATGAGGTGGATGGTGGAGAGTCACTAGGACTGGCAGGTGTTCAGTAATGCTATTCTCTGATATGTGTCTGGTTGAGAATTTGGGACTGTAAAGTCAAGCACCCCTACAACTGGCCCATTTTTCTGCTCTTCAGTAATCAGACTGTCATAGAATCATAGAATCATAGAAACATAGAATTAGCTGGGTTGGAAGAGACCTTTGAGATCATCAAGTCCAACCCTTGATCCAACCCCACTGTGATTACTACCAGTCAGGACCATGCCTACCTCACCCAATAAATCTCATAAGTCTGTGATGAAGGTGCTGTTTAACAATTTGGGAAAAATATATTAGGCCTTGATATTTTTTGCATGTCCTTCGTATTCTTGTATGCACCTCCCATCTCATTTGCTCAGTGTGCAACACATTCCAACTTGGTGTTGTGTATGATTTTTTTTTTATACTTTTCCTAATTGGATATAAAATGTTGCAGCATAGAATCATGCCCCTCATCAGAGTCGTAAAATTTGACAGTTTAAAAAATTTTGCTGTGGAAGAGTGACTAAACTTAACTTTATTTGGAGACAATTTTAGACTGACTGATGTATCAGTGCTGTATTATTTTGTAATGACCTTCTGGATTTTCTGAACCACATGCATCAGTGCTTGTTGATTTTTACTCATTTTTCACCTAAAAGGCACTGTATTTTTTTTTATAACAATGATCATGATATATTCACTCCTGTATTCTTTTTGACTGCTGCATTTGTAATTCAGTCCAGAAAAATATGATTTGTATTTTTTTTCCCTTCCTTTTTCATGGGTCAGTACTTTTAGATAAAGTTAGCTTAGCCAGATTATTAAGTCTATAGCTGGTCATATCTGTAGCTTTCCAGACAAATAGTGTAATTTTGAGAGATCTTTCTCATAAGATACTATAGTTATATTTTTAAAAAGTCTGGAATTAGACTGTAGGAGAATATTCAAATATCTACTAATGCCCAAGGTCAATGACCATTAAAAACCACCACCACACTGTGAGTGTTTTTTGGGCTTCTTCTTGCTTCTTTTGAAAAAAATAGCAAAGTAAATGACTTGGGAAAAAAAGGAATGTGGTAGTGAAAAACTGTTCAATGATTTATTCAGTCTGATCTTGCAAGAGAGTGATACCTCATCTTCTTAATCTGAATCCAGAGATTCCCTGTGGTATGCAAGAGGAGATGGACTATCTGCTAGTGTTTCATTTATTTTCTGTACTGTTTGTTAGGCTAAAATAGCTAGTATAATACATGATAGCTGTCCAGATTGTTATACTTTACATCTTTTTTAGAAAGGCATCTATATCGCAGCTGTTTGTTTCCAGTCCATGGATTTTCAGAAACAATTGTTAAGTCATTTAGTAAACTCATCAGTTAATTTCCACAGATGCATATCATCTGGATTTACTGATTTGCATACATTTAAATTTTTCAATGCCAGACCTTTTTTTTTTCTCAAATGTCATAAAAACTTCCCACAACATCTGTAGCCACAAAGGACAGTTTTCAAAAGTGCCTTCACCCCATTTTAAAAAGGATTTTTCAAAAGTTTGTCTTTCATTTTATGTGAGATTAATGGGACAGGCAGGGAAAAGTAAGGAGGACAAAATTAGATTATGCCTGTGGACATGGATTTGCAATAGCCAGAATAGGTGCAATAAATTGGATATCAAAATAGCTTCTGTCCTAAATTGGCCTCCTTGAAAATATTATCTAAGATTACAGCTACTTTTTTTGCTCTTTCATTTGGTAAAGACAAAGACGTGCAGAAATAAACTCCACTACTTTCACTGAGACCAGTAGAGATGTATTCTCATTTGTAAATGCAGCAAGGGATTGAACCCTTTGCTGGAGCAGAGGATACGAGGTCCCGTGGGCAGATCTGGAGTTTAAGCGCAGATCACACTGAACGCTTTTAATCTCCCGCTTGCTGCTTTCTGGATCATGAACTTGTCCTCTATTATTTAGGGAGGCAGTTGATGAGGCCCATTCAGCTGTATTTGTCATACACCAGATGTCAGGATAGTTAAAGTCACTCATGCTTCCTCTTGTTTTAAGCTCCTCAGCAGTTGGTCTGGGATGATTTGCACGTGCACGCATGCGCACACACACACACGCACACTATCACTTAAAACTACAGTGTACTCTATGTATCCTAAATATTGACATGATTTCCCATAAAACCCATTCCTATCCAGCACACTGGATAATACCTCTGTTTTTAACTGAATAGCTCTGGGTAATCAGTAGAAATTTTGGGCTTTGAGAGTGTGTTTTGCCCTCTGTGCTATCCCTTACTGTCCCTTCATCCTTTCTCCATCACTGCCAGTGATGCCTGCTCCCTGCAGGCATATTTGCAATAGCCATTCTACTAGATCTGAATGCCTTTTAAGTAAAATGGAGCATCAGTGGGTTTGGTGATAACTCAGAACTCAAACTGCACATTTTCTCCACTTAGGAGGTTTCAGACAGGCTTATTAGTTCATTGTCTTCCTCTGCTCTTCATTTTTCTCTGTCCTGACAGTAAATAGTCCTCACACATGGTGCTTACAAGAGCCACCATTCATTTTTGTGTGTTGCTGAACAACTACCAAATGCAGCAGTGACCACATTTCGGCAACGAGCGAAATGAAGCCTCTGCATACCATCTGCAAGGAGCCTTCAAGAGTGGAGGGCACTCAGCAAATGTGATCTGTAATCTACTAAGCCTGCATTGTAACCAATGAGTGGTATTTGGGGAAAAAAAAAAGAAAAAAAAAGAACATAAGTTTGGATTTGAAAAAATAAAGGAAAATGAAACCCACCTGTTTTGCCTGCATGATCTTTTTATTTTAAGAGAGGGATTTTTTATTTTTGCATACCTGAATGAACCTTTTTGTCTTTTTCAACTCACTTAACGTATCCATCTTTCTGTTTCCTCATCAGGCCGCCTGTAGAAGACAGTCAAACCCTGCTGACACCGGTGGTGAGCTGTGGTCCACCAGGAGCCCTGCTAACCCGGCCTGTCATTTTAACCATGCACCACTGTGCAGAACCAAACACAGAGGACTGGCAGATCCAGCTGAAGCACCAGGCTGCCCAAGGACCATGGGAGGTGAGGCTCTGGAGCCCCAGCCTGTGTGCTGACTGAATGAAGGGCTCTCTGTTAGTCTTTCACTTCCCTTTCTGAACCTGGGTGCCTGTATTTTGGGTTTTCCATGTGAGACACTTGGCTGTTCCAGGCAGACAGGAGTGCCCTTCAGCACTAGGTATCTAAGCTGCCCAATGCCCATGCAGGAATGCTATCTTGAGGCAGTTTGGCACTTCCTGGTTCTAGCTGTTTTCCATAAAATAGCCTTCATCATCAGATTTTGGCACTTAAGCTACTGTTTCTGCTAGGATATTGTGCCAAAGTCATGGGGTCAAAAGAAATAGGCAAGATAAAAAGCAGTACCTGAAAACGATTTCTGTCTTGACTTTAGAAATAAGAAAGGATTTTTACAGAATAGTTTTCAGTCTCCTGGCTTTTAGTCTGTTTTCAAGAAAGTGAAAATAAGGCTGCAAATTATCTCCTTCAGCACCAAGACATCATTCAGCTAAATAAAATGTATATATCTTATACATATAAATATATATCTTTTCTTTTTCCCTCCTAAGATGTTGGTGGAGATCACTTTGATTCAGTTCATGCAGCCAGTATTGAATTCTGCGTCCTGAAAACTCAGGGAAGCAGAGCAAGCATTGTTGGGTAGTGCAGGCTTGATGGGAGCCTCTTGTGGTTCTTTGCCAGCAGTGTAGCAGGCGAATATCCCAAGGCAGTGTGGCACAAGGATCTTCCCACTGTAACTGGAGCATAAAGTGATGCTTTCAGCAAGCCTGGGCCATCCTGACAGAGCCCTCCTCTCCAGCCCTGTGCTCCTAGGTACCTGCTGCCACCAGTTTGGTCTCATAATTAATTTGGCAAGGGCATTTTCTCCTACCAGTACGTTTGATAAGGTCAGAGTGGCTTCTGAAGGCAGTTGGGCTGACAGCAGCAAAAGTGCCATGTCCAGCATTGCCTTCAAAAGCCTTCTGTGTGTGTCCCCTTGGTGCCTGTAGCACCAGCTTTTCCTCATGCTGGGAGGGAGCATGCAGCGAATCAAGGTCTGTCTTGCCAACTAATCTGCACCCCACCAGCCTGACTCCTGGCACTGCACATATGTTCCTTATTTACACCTGTGTGTTACTGGCATCCCTTCATTTTCTTCCCCATCCTCCTCCTGCCCCTGACGGAGGTTGCTGTGCCAGCCATGCCCACACTGGCACTAGTGCAGCCTCCGCAGCATCCACAGGGTCCCTAGCCATCACACAGCCATCTTCTCTCTCAGTTCTGGAGCAGCTCCTCCAAGCTGAGCCTCACACACAGACACACAGACACACACACACAGAGACATGCATTCATGCACACCCCTGCAGCATCACTCAGGACCAGCACCTCCTGCCAGAGCCAGGTCCTGGCATGGTCACAGGGGAGGTGCACTCAGCAGTAGCACCTTGGCCTCCAAAAAGATTGTGCCACCCTTGCAAACATGCCTTCCCTGAGACTAGGGTGCCCAAGCTTAATGCTAAATATGAGTTGAACATACGTACTGCCAGGTGTGTACGTTGTGCTGCAGACCTGCAGGCAACAGGGGTGAAGTGGGCAAGTTGTGCTGAGCATTCAAGTAGCCCGTGGTGACTCTGCAAGAGGCAGTCATCATCCTCTGCTGCTGTTTTGCTTCTGCTCTCTCTCAAAGCTGTTCAAAGCACCTTGTGTTGTGTGCAGGATATTACATGCAGGGTTGAATGGAGACATTAGCAGGGGAGATGTTTTCCTGCACACCCTGGGTGGGGAGGTCAGGCATTCAGGCTGTAAGTATTTTTTTTCTTCACCCTGCAGTCTTGTCACGGAGGATTATTCTGGAGAAGCAGCAGGTGATATTTCATGTAGATGTAGCATTTGGCCATTGTAGAGGTTACTTCCCTTCCTTGAGTTTTTATAACTCCTTATTGTCATGCTTAGGAAGTAAAGGGCAGTTATTTATTCAACACGCCTGAGACTACAAGTGTTAAATCATGGTCACTAAATTATTAGTTCTGCAATATATTTTTCAATGAAGTCTTGGTGATACTTTCATTATCTATCATTAAGACTTTCCAAGTCTTAAGAGAGGGACGGCAGGAGGAGTTTTTTACCACCAACCCCAGAGAAATCATCTCCTCCCTGTGCCTACACAGGAGAAAAGGTGGAAGCAGGAATTTTGATCTTGATTAGTGTAAGGTGCAAAAAGCAAGGACTTTTTGCATCATGCAGACTTGAAAGGGGCATTGCTGCCTTAAAGGATAGCAGCTCTGAGGGATCACATGCGCTAATTTCACCCTTTTCTCCCTTAGGATGTGGTGGTGGTTGGGGAAGAAAATTTCACCACTCCATGCTATATCCAGCTGGACCCAGAGGCCTGCCATATCCTGACAGAAACCCTCAGCACGTATGCCCTGGTAGGACAGTCAATCACCAAAGCAGCAGCCAAACGTCTCAAACTGGCCATCTTTGGACCATTGTCCTGCTCTTCGCTGGAGTACAGCATCCGGGTCTACTGCCTTGATGACACACAGGATGCTCTTAAGGTGGTTGTTGATCTCTTACTTGCTTTCCTAATGTTCCTCTCCAGATGTATGAAGACTGCAGTGATAGTGGTGATTAGATCCTCTGCTTCATGTATTCACACTCACTGGATTATTTTTCTGATTAGAAGAAGAGCTTGGCAACAAGCTGCTTTTTTACAGTTTAGCCTCCACATGCTATAAATTGTCCTTTGCATAGGGGTCTCATGCTGTTTTCAGCCCACCAGTTTTTTTCCTTTGTTTACCTGTATCATATCCTGAATCCTAAGGTTTTTGCATTATTAAAAGGCCATAAGGTACACAGGGCTTCATTCGTTATTCATGTATTTTTAATGCTAAGTGCCAGCTCCCCAGAGATGGGGAAACATATAAATGCTTCTTTGTAAATAGATGATAATGATAAAAGAAGCTTCTGGCCCGTTAATCACTGCCTGCTTTCATACTGCTTTATTACACCTCTTCGTGTGCAGTTTTTTTTGTGTTGGGAATTCACAACTGAAATAAACCAAAGCTGTTGCTATCCCTAAATATATAACCTTACTCTCCGTGCATAATTCTGGCATGCACAAAAACACATGCTCACCACATACAGATGAGCATACAGATAACCATAATTGCTGTTTCTCTTTATAAATACCTGTATTTATACCAATGGTATCTATAATAGATACACTCATGAAATACATAGCTCTAACTGCACGTGCAAGAATGGAGTTTATTTAAAGATGTTTGGGGGTTTTTTTACTGTAACCAATGCAATTTCACAAATACCTCTTTGCAGCAAAATGAGTTCAAAGCCTGACTAAGCAGAGTTATCCTGGTGCTGTATATGCTTTTTTTCCCCCCTCAGCTTTGCATGGGAATTATGAGGATTTAAACCCACATACACTAGCTGGGAGATGTTTGTGTTTCTCAGAGCAGTGACTTCCATGACTGCGAGTAGCATGCTTAGTTTTCCTCCCCAATACTGTCTGATATCAAGTTTTACCTGCATAGGCTTTGCTGAGGGAATACTCTTTCACTATATGTAAGAAAGGCAGCCAAGTATAAGGGTTGAAGCAGGCACATTGTGACTTCGGCGTGGTTTTGTCTGTACAGGGCCTGGGAGTTTGGCCTCTGTCACTGCAGTGGTGTTGTCAACCTTTTAGAAACAATTTTTTTCCCTAGTCTGATTTCCCTTTTGTTTTTTCGTCCTTACCAAAAAAAAAAAAAAAAAAAAAAGAAAGTGAAAAGGATGTTTCATAGCAATCAAGCTTCAAAAGCCCTGATGGTTTTATGTCTGTGCTGTGTAATACAATTTTCCACGGGTTCTACAAGGCCTGAGGTAATAATAAGTGAGTCGGAGAGCCCTTGGACAGCCAGCTAATGCAGTCAGAGCTGAGGAATCTAATTAGGTGTTACTCAAGAGCTGTTGGTCTGTTTCTAATAGACTGTAAGGGAGAGTTGTGAGGTAAAGTTAATCCAATTCGGTACGACAGTAGAAGGGATCATGAGAGGCACAGAGCCACACAGAGGGACATCCTTCATCTGAGAAGCTGCAGCCAGCATTTGGGAGGGCAGCAGGTCAATCCTTGGGCTTCTGCTGCAGGTAGACCCCAAAGGGAGATCATTTGTAGTTCTGTAAGGAAAGGTGAGCAAAGTCAGGAAGCCACCATCCCACTCATACCTACTACTTTTTTTTATAGTAAGTTCATGCATTTTAATTTCCTTTTTTTTTTTTTTTTTTTTTTTGGCATATCTACCCTAAGACTGGAAGGCCACTCATGGGGTTCAAGACCCAGCTATCTAGTGGTTTGCAGGAGGACAAGCACACATACTTGCTGGGCACAGGCACTTAAAAAAGTATCAATTGCACTTCTTTGGAAATGAAAGATCTGGGGAAGGAGAAAGTTTAAAAAAAAAGGAGCTTAATAAACTAGCTGTAGATGAGTAAAATGGGTGTAGATGGAAGTGTTGACTATGAACTGATGTATATAAACTGGTGCATATGAACCAGTGCATAAAACCCAGTGTGTACTAACTATCCCTGTGAGACAGACTCAAACTATGACTACTGAGAAAGAAAACAAAAGGTTGGGATGTTTGCCACGTGCTTTCACAGCAGCTGGTACCACAGCAGCCCCAGCAGTGCAGGGAAGATATCCTTGGCACTGCCATATTGCCAAAGGGAAGGCGTTCACTGGGCAGTTACCACTGGGAGTGTGGGACACAGCATGCAAACAGGGCTGGGCCAGCAGAACCTGAGGTTAAAAGTATTTTGGAGAGGGAGGAAAAGTGGTAGACAGCAGGTGAGGCACCAGCTAGAGCATCTTGGTGTCTTGAGGCTGGCTGCTCTGGGCAAAGCATGGCAGGGGAGGGAAGAGCAGTGTGAAATGTCTGAGGTTTGGAAGGGCCTTTGCAGGGGATTATGTGTATTTTAATAGACAACCAAATGCATTCTGTTATTATTTACAACTAGGAATGAGTGTGCTATATGCTGAATGTGTCTTAACAGCCACCAAAGGAAGGCAAGTATTTGCAGTATAAAACACAGAGCAGTGTTTATCCAGCAGAAGTTTCCCTCTCATCATGCAGAGTAAGCACTTGCTGCACAACTGCCAGCACCTGCAGTACAGTAGGGAAGTTTAATGACTTCTCATCAGTAAGGACTCAGTTATTGTGGGAGCAACTTATTAAGGTTCTTGGGGGCTGCAGAGCAGTGTAAGCTCAGCGCTGATCACACATGCAGCATCCTCTGCCCCTCAGGTCCCTAGCCACCCAGAGGGGATGTTCGCAAAAATGCTTTTTGGGCAAGGGTAAGGGTAGCTGTGACCTCGAGCACTGGCCTCTGTTTTTTAAGGCTTATTTTTGCATTTGAGGGGGGTGCCTAAGCTAGTCTGCTAAAAAAAAAAAAAAAAAAAAAAAAGGCAATAATTTGATAACTATAAAGAAAATCCAGCTGCTTTATTCTGTTTATTCATGTGTGGCTCTGAGATTGAGGTGTGTGGCCTGCGTGTGGCAGTGTGGCAGGGGCTGAGCTTACAGGCGCATGAAAACAGCTGCCTCCCTCACTAGGGGCAAGCAAATGACTTCAGGCTGTAGCATGGTGGCATCCCCCAACCTGCCTCATACTGCACAGTAAGTGCCTTCAGCACAACCACACAAAAATGGGCACAACAGGCTTGTGATCTTCTCTCAGTTATTTAATGCCCTTTTCCTCTTACTGAAGGAAGGTAACAGCTTAGACTGAAAACCATTTCTTGCCTGTGCCCCTTTAATGAGTAGGCCCAGGTTGTGGCTGTTCTGGTTACACTGATGATGGAGTGATGCTTTACATAGCACCCTCTCCTAGGAAGGGTGTAAGGGCATAGTCCTGCCTCACAGCAGGGGTGAGAGGCAGTGGGCAGGGCTGCAACCACCTCAGCATGGGGCAAGGAACATGCAGCTCAGGTTTTGGCTCAGGAGAGCATAGAGGTCCCAGCCAGCAGGATAAGCATTGCTCTAAATAAAATGCCGTTATGGCAGAAACCAGCCTTATTAATTCTTAATTGATTAGCTAAGGGGCATGGGAAAAGCACAGGCTGCTCAGCATCCTCCAGTAAGAGCACGTAGAATGGCTGTGGTGACCAAGGGTCACCAAAAGGGTCCCAACAAAAGTGGGATATTGAAACTAGACACCCAGATCTGGTGGGTGGAATGGTGCAGCATCACACCACAGTGTTTTTCCCCACAGTAATGCAGCTCCCAGTGCTGCTGCAGCACAGGCAGGAGCAGTTTCTCGGCACCCATGCCCCACATGCCTGAGAGGTGGCATCTGCAATTAGCTTACAAGTCCTCTTCTGGCCCTTCCAGGGAGGTAATTTGGACATAATGAAGATCTATAGTAATCAGATAATTGCTATTGATTGCTCTTTAGACATCTTGACAAAGTAATTAGGTGGCACTGGAAAGAAGCTGGAACTGATTCATTGGCGTAACCTTAAGCTGAAAGGTGTCCTGATTTTGTTTCTTTTCCTCTAACAGCCAATAAAAAAACCCCATGGTTTTAGCTTCAAGGTCTGCCATATGCTGGGATGGGGGCTTTGCTTATATGCTAACTAGTGCCCTGAATGTGGTCAGGAGTAGCTTAGCTAAAATGGAACCTCCTTTAATTGGCCTGGGGTACTATCCTGGTTTTGTGTGCCTATATACTCCTTGAGCATTCTCACTGTGTGTGATTGTCTTTGGCCACATGAGACTGATTGGTTGGATGGCTCTTTTAATTAAATATGACGGAGATAGGCTGTGTTGGTTTCTAACAGGGCCCATGTAGGTGCCTTTGTACTTGCTTCTCCCATGTGGTCTACAGTTAGGCTGTTTGTAGGCAATATTCCACTGTGGTCTTATTAATTAAAGGCTTATATTTATTTTTAACTTCAGAAAATGACCAGACTCTTGGCTCACTAGCTTTTAATTACATGATCAATATTTCAGTAACCCTGAACTAATGTATTCATATGTACAAAATGCTCAGAGTGTCTTGCATTGTTTCCACACCACCCCGTTTGACAGTCTCAGCATAGGTATCTGTTATCTCCTGTACCACTCTGTTATAGAGCACTTTGTTACGAGGTCACAAAGGTAAAAGACCAGTGGTATGCACAGGTCCCATATCAGCAGGACCTACACCAAATAAGCATTACCAAAAACAAAATAGCAAAACGACCATTAGATGTCCAGTTTGATGAGCAACGGAGAAGACTGATCTATTTCTGTACTTTGCCGTGTGCAAAGTCTTTGCATTCCATATAATAGCATGCAATTAAGCTTCTGATTAGGGACATGCAGAATAACACTGCATCTCCCAAAGGAGAGGTGCCTGCATTTCTGCTGGGCTGCTGCTGTATGAAGGGGATGAGGGGCTTATTCTCAGATCCACTAATGCAGTTCCAGTTCACCGGGAAACACAATGCCTGTGTATTTTTTTAATCTGTATTACGCATGTTAACAGCATCTACAACAGACAGTCTTGAGGACTCAGAAGATCACTGTGCTGTCTTGATGAAACCTAACCACTTTCTTCTTTTTATCCCAATACTGCAGGAGGTCCTGCAGCTTGAGCGGCAGATGGGTGGGCAGCTTTTGGAGGAGCCCAAAGCTTTGCATTTTAAGGGAAGCACTCACAATCTCCGTCTGTCCATTCATGACATTGCCCACTCTCTCTGGAAGAGCAAACTGCTGGCTAAATACCAGGTGAGCAACACAAAACATTCACATTGGATTCTAGCAGTGAGGATTACAGAAATACTGGAAATACTGTCATGCACAGGTGTGTTTGAAAAACACCAGGTGCCAGGCTATAATCCCATGGACAGTTTTTCCCCTGGACCATTTTCATTCACAGTAGCATGGAGCCCACGGTCTCTGGTCACATAGCATCCATACTGTGATCTCAGATCCCTCTCTGACTCCACTTTTTTGCTTTCCTCCTGCAGGAGATTCCCTTTTACCACATCTGGAGTGGATGTCAGAGAAACCTGCACTGCACCTTCACACTGGAAAGGTTCAGTCTGAATACCCTGGAGCTGGTGTGCAAACTCTGTGTGCGGCAGGTCGAAGGAGAAGGACAGATCTTCCAGCTCAACTGCTCTGTTTCAGAGGTAAATGACATTTGTGCATTTTCTATCCAACTGCAGGAATGTGGAAGGGACAAGGAGGTATGACCTTTCCCATTGCTATCTGTTTAGTGCTTCCCATTTTCCTCCTGACTGCTGGGATGGACATAAAGAATGGATTAAATCATTGCTTTGTATGTCCTCTTGCATTTTCCCTTAGTTTCTCTCTTCTGGAAGAAAGAATCACTCCTTCAAGGGAGTGAGGAGAGCAGCCTTGGTCTCCCTGCTAGCGCTACTTCTCTGTCTCTCTGTGGAGGAGCTCTTTTCCTACCACTCCCTAATGCATCTCACAAAGCACTGCTTGGTCCTGTTTCCTGTCAGTCCATGAGACCCATCATGCCTGATGTTCCTGGAGAGGGAGAAAAGAGAATAGGAAAATTTCAGTGCCACATGTTTCATGAGCCACTCCCCTCTGATCCCACATAATAGCTGCTGTACAAGAGGGAATATCAAATTGTCCAGTTGCAGTAAACTTTTCTCCTCGTATTTTCCTACTGCTACGAATCCTGACTATTATTTTTGGCGATTTTTCTTTTGATGGCTGGCATTGTCCAGTAGAAATTTTGTCATGACTTTGGGAACGTCTTTGCCAGTGCTATATACAACCTGGAGAATTTTTGCTCCTTGGGGCAGTCAAGTTTGGGACCAAGACCAAGTGACACATTCAGATGTGAAGTGGCATTGACTTCAGTGAATATGCCTGTGGGTTTTATTCCTGGTACCCTTGGCAGCTACGAGGAGCAGACCCTCAGGCAGCAATTACTGCTGGCTGACTTCTGGAAGGGCTGTGAGAGCAGAGACAAAAGTTACTTGTGCTATAGGGCCCTAACGTTGTGTGCTATTACCCGTAACATCTGCTTGGTTAGTGGGTGTACTGTTACAGATTCATCTGGGGACTACATAGCATTAAGGACAGATGGTAAAACAAGCATCTTAAACAATTATTGTAATAAGTGCTGCATTGAGGTAATCACTAATTTAACCTCACAGAGAAGAGAAAGAACTGAAAGTAACTTTAATGAAATGCAAGTATACACTATAATCATCTTCAGCTGGTTGTGTGTAATATAGCCTGGTAATAGATTCAGAGGGAACAGGGTAATATTCTCGTCTTGTGCTGTGATCCTATCCATCAAGGATGAATAGAGGGAGTGAATAATACCACTGCTTTCAAGGCTGCCTTCTGCAAAATTGCTCCTTGTTGTTTACACCTCATGATGTTCCCAAGCCCAAGCAAGGGGCAGGAGGACCTTGGGCTGCCAAGAGCTGGCATATAGGGTCAACTAGGAAAAAGTCCAAAAACTCAGAGATTTGATGAGAATTCACCTGGAACTTGGAAACAGATGTGTATGTCTCTAGAAGTGTGATAAAGACATCAGACCAGGCTTCAGGAAACCTCAGTTGTGGTGCCTCACATTTTCTTCTGAGGTTAGGCTAGTGGTATCCAGCTATTGGTTAGGCATTGCAGGAGTGTGCTGGCATCTTTCTTTATTGCTAGATCTGCCTTTGTGCCTCTGTCACCCTGCAGTAAAAATATAGTAACACAGTTTCCTGCATCCTCCCTTTATGGGCTTTCTTTTTAGTCCCCTGCAAAGGATGTAAGACTTCTCCAGATTAAATTGTTTTATACTGGCTTTTACAGTGTCTGTCACTGGGACTTCAAAAATACAAATGCAGTGAGTGCCAAAACATGCACATTTGCAAAGCAAGAGGAAGACTGCAATAAAGGTCTCCCATCATTTGTTTTTGAAGCCCTCTTTTTAACTGCTAGTGTTGATAATCACACAAAAAGAGCCACAGGGCAATTCCATGGATACCTGGGTTCCTTCTGTAGAAATCCTAAAACACCCGAGGCTGCAAGCAAGCTTGGAAGCCAGGGCAGCACTTGTGTCCTTTGGCCCAGAATATAAAGAAAAGGTTATCTGTTTGCAATGCCCCAGTCACCACCCTGCTGCTTCCCACCTCCCAGGGCAGGTGAGCCTGCAGGCAGCAGCAATGTCAGGCAGATAATTTTGCCTGCTCCTGGGCAGCTGCTGCTGCCAGACAGCTGGGCAATAACTCATTGCCTGAAGCAGTGGGGTTGGGGTAGACAGTTCGTGATGCAGGGCCTTGGAACCCAAGTACAGATGTCACAATGTCACATTTGCCATGTTAACTGAGGACATTACAGTTAATTCCCTGGGTAGAAATTTCACTGCCTAAAATGCCATTTCTATTTAAAAAAAAAAAAAAAAGGAGGGGCAAAAAATATCATATTTGTGAATGTAAGACAATTAATTGATGTAGGTAAAAGAATGGAGGCAAAAGGTTTAATTCTGTTCGTTACTCATGGACATTTTCCATCTTTGAATACATTTAGAGGTGGGAAATCAAAGACTGCACATGACTGTGAGCATCTCCAAGAAACTCCTTGGGGGGTATGTAGTGGCAGCTTAAATCAGGAGTTACCTGGTTTTAAGATAGTTTCAGGTATTTCAAGACCTTCTCAACAGCCAGTTTGACATCAAGCAACAAGACAGCTCACAGAGGTGAAAACAAATTGACATTTAATGACAAGTCTTTAGCAGAACTGTTTCTGGCTGCCTGGGGCTGTGATCTGGATCTCCCTCATTTCTGCCAGAAAAGGAGACCAAATTGAGAAATAGATTGAGAAACGTGAAGGCAGAACTAGCCGTGCTTGCTGATTTTTGCAATGGAGGTGGGAGGTGCTGCACGTGTGAGCAGCATCCCCATTGCACAGTTGGGCAGCCAGTCGGCATCAGTGAGGTCTGGTGGGGCTTTCAGCCACCCTGGAGGACATCGCTGTTCCTAAACAAACCCAGCCACCCAAACGGGCCAGCTACCATTGTCCTACCAGCTACCAAGCCTGTGGGTGCTAAGTCCTTCCAGGCCAAGGAAAAGACAAAATCCTTGCCCAGAAGAGCCACCTGCTGTTATTCCCAGCAGAGCCATGTTAACAGTGGTGTCATAGGGAGCCTCCCAGCTGGGAGGATCACATCAGAGAGAACCAACATCATACCTGCAGAGGACAAGCTGGCTTTGGAGGTGCCTTTTCCTTTGAAACACTTGGCTGCCACACTGCCTTTGAGCACAGCACTGGTCTTGGGGAAAGGAGACGATGGCTGCCCCCTCCTGAGCACATCTCTTCCAGCTCCATCTATTTCCAGCACAGAGTTAAAGCTGCATAAAAACGAGGGATCAGCTTGTGCCTGGGACGGTATTAACTGTCTGTCTGTGGTCTACAGAGCATCAGAGGCTTCAGGGAGCATGGGTGCTGCCAGAAGGATATCAGTGGTGTGAGCCTGGTGCTGACTTGGTGGGGCATGGGGGGCTTGGAGACATGTTGGGAAGGCGGTCTTTGTCAGCCCAATTCTGTTCTAGTAATAGCAATTTGCTCTGAAATCTGTTGAGGTACCTCATCTTTCATTATTTCCAGTGAGTGATTAATTAAGCTGGTCTCAATTATGTCCACCTGTAGTAATCTCCCCTCACAAAAAAAAAGGGGGGGGGGGAATCTTTTATCTACCCAAAGCTGATTGTAAATATTTCTCTTTTCCAGCTGACTAACCTAAACACTTGATTGGCAGAGGGCTACAGGTAAAAGCACTGAGTCTTAGAGGATACAGTTCTACAATTGTCTCTGCACTCAATAACAAAACTGATGGGTTGTTTGAGCTTTTTTCCTGTCTTTCCAATCTCAGGAACCTACTGGCATCGATTATCCTCCCGTGGACTCAGCGGGCACCATCACCACCATAGTAGGGCCCAGCGCTTTCAGCATCCCCCTCCCGATAAGGCAAAAGCTGTGCAGCAGCCTGGATGCACCCCAGACCAGAGGCCACGACTGGAGGATGCTGGCCCACAAGCTGAAACTGGACAGGTGAGCAGGGCTGCCTATGTGTGGTTGGGCAGAGAAGTGCCCAGGGAGGTACGTGCAAAAGGGTCCTGTTGGAAGTTCCTCTAGGTGAGTGAAAGCATTTATACAGACTGATCAGACTGCCTGCACAGGGGATTAACACCTTGACAGCACCAGCAATGGGAATGGGTTGAAATCATATGAATTCAGGTAGTTTTCACGCAGCTCAAAGTTTCCTTTTGGTTCATTGCAGGTACTTAAATTATTTTGCTACAAAATCGAGTCCCACCGGGGTGATCCTGGATCTCTGGGAAGCCCAGAATTTCCCTGATGGCAACCTGAGCATGCTGGCAGCAGTTCTTGAAGAAATGGGAAGACATGAAACAGTTGTTTCTTTGGCAGCAGAAGGAAATTACTAATTCAGCCTTGGCGTGAACAGGAAGGACAGACGCAGAGAGCGGTAATGCCCTGTTATTGCAAACGAGAATTGAAATGAAAACCCAGACCAATGAGTTACACAAGAGACATTTCAGAGAAGAAAGCAAGCAAGCAAGCAAACAAAAAAACCAGCCCTGACCTTCACACATGTTCTCCTTGTACATTATCACAGGATCAAAAAGAAATCATGCAAAGTTGTACCTTGAAAATATAAATCAACGAAATGTTCCTCTCGGCTTGGCTGTACACTGCTTGGTACAGGATTTTACAGTTTCCTAGGAAACGCTTTTTATTGCTATCCAGATATATGGATAAACTTTCTTAACAATCCCAGTTTCTATGGATGTTGTTTACATCAAATTCTGGACAGGGGTAAGGAGACTGTCCATGGCTCTTTATATTTTTTGTTTAAAGCCATTCTAGACAAGGCTATGGACAGGTGGTTGTGGCTATTTTTGGTTTCTGGTGAATTCAGATTTTGGCTACAATTCTGCACATTGGTTGTCTCGCAATGATCCTCCTGTCATGGTTCTGTTTCCTAGACCTACTTGTAAGAAAAAAAAAAAAAAAAAAAAGAAAATCAGGTTTGAGAGGTGTGCATCTGGAAAGCAGGTACTCTGGCTGATAAGCAGGAACACAAGTAATATGTTCCCTTCCTTTCCCGAGGCAGCCCCACTAAGCCTGTGTGGAGAACAGCTATAAGACAGTGGGGAATGCAGGATCTGAGTTAGTTTTCAATTCACACCCTTTCCACCCCTTTTCTATATGAGGGGGCCAGATATGCAATTCAGAGTGTTGGGGGGGAGGGAATAGAAACCCAGAAAAAAAAATAAAAGAGAAGTTACTATGATAATTTTTTTACTGATTAGTACTTAGTGCAAGGATCATAATGACTATTATTATTACCATTATTACTTTATTTCTAATTTTGTCAGCAGCAGAATGAATAATTTCTGATTTTATAGAACCTGTTGTCCCTTTCTTGAAGGTCTTCTAAGGCATGTTCTTCTATATGCCATCTGTCCTTCCCTTTGTCAGCCATCGTACTCCTCCAAAAAAGTCCTCTGCCAACCCACCCAGGTTGCCCACCTCGCGCTAGCACTGCTGTGCATCGTGCCAGATGCAAAGGCAGTAAAAACTGGTGACACTCTGCTGAAGTCACTGAGCTGCACTCACCAGGTATGTGACCCAGCACCCCTCCCTGGGGTGTTTTACACCACCCTGGTGCTTACAGGTTGCTCCAAGAAGCAGTCTTGTCCCAAGGTGGCTGTGAACCAGAGGCAGCCTCCCGGTCTGAATAGACATGGACCACTGATTCAAGGTCAGAGGTCCTGCAAGCATGTGGAGGCACCGACATTGGCCACCTGATTTGTGTATCGAGGTTGGGCCTCCATATTGTTTGCTTTGTTGTGAAGCGGTCTAAGAGCCAGCAACTCCTGTTCATTCCCCACAGAGCTGCAGGCACTCACTTTTATTGAAACCCACCTCCTCTAATGATGTTTGCCACGCTTGTGGCAAACCCTCTGCTGGGCCATTTCTGTGTGAGATGCACTTGGTGATCTCCACAGATACTCCCAGGCTTTGCTGCAGCCTGTGTCTTGTGGGTCAGTGTAGGGCAATGGAGTGGTAAAGTTGAAATCCCGTGTACTGCAGTTTGCTGCCTTCACTGTGCTCCTGCCACCACCACTGCCTAGGCAGGGAGGTGCACGTTCTCACCGGCTGATCAGGAGATGCTTGTCCCTCTAGGCCACCACAAACAGGTAAAGTGGGAATTTTGTAAAAGAAGCAAATCAAAAATGGTTGTAATTTGATAGTGCATAGGATTGCAGTAGTTTCACTGGCAGACTTGTCTGTCCTCTACTTCTGGCACAAAAAGCCTTTTCTTCCCCAGCCCACCCACTCCAGGTTTCCAGCCAGGCCCTGGTTATTGCTTTTGTGCACAACAGACGTGCCCCTGCCCACTCCATACATATTCCTACTCCATACGCTTCCTGTGACTGGAGTTGGCTTGTTCTTTTGTGGTTTTGGTTTTGTTTTCCCCAAGGCTTTCCATATTGGGCTTTTGAAGGTAACTTTGAAAATGTCATTGGTCAAAATGAAAATTTCATCTGACCTTTTTTTCCATTTGACATTTCCATAGGCTTGGCACCTTTTGTTTCTCAGCTCCCTGACCAGTAAATAAGGTCAATCAAAACCAGTGGGGTTTTGATTGACCGCTGGGGCAGTGAGCACAAAAAGTTCCCTTCCTTTTTAAGAGGTAACCTGGCAGTTTTCCAACCAGCATTTCAGTCAAAACGGGAGACCAGAGGATATACATTGTAACTTTCAACATCTGTGTGCATTTAGCCTGTGTAAGCCCCACCTTCTCTTAAGGTGGAGATTATATGGGCATCTTTTCAACAGCCAACCATCTTCTTTTTCATCTTGGGCATCTGATGCAGCCCATTGCAATGCTAATGTAAATTTTGCTTTCAACTTCAGGACGTTTGGACTGGGGCTTCCAGCTCTGCCCTTTCTTCACACCTTTTACTCACCTTGGAGTACTACAATAGGTCTCAGCTTTTTTTTTCCTCTTGTGCAACCAGTTGTATTTAAGTTTCTGCTGCTTCACCTTTCCCATGTGTCCTTCCTTCATGACTTTGCATCCAAGGCAGGTTCATGAGTTGAACTGTCCTTCGACCCTTTCCTGTCTTTAGCTCAGTCTTTGTTGGCTGATCCCCAGGCTCACTGGTGCTCCCCAGCTCTCAGCTTTTGCCAGGTGGGCAGCGTGTGAACCCTCCTCACTAGGGTCATACCAGAAAGTATCTCATAGTTATCTGTATTCCTATGAGTGGATGCTCCTTTTGCCAGCTCTCTGACCTACATTCTCGCACCTCCTGCAAGAAAAACAGATGAACAACTTTCTTAAAATATTCTGGGGCATTTTTTTTTCACAGCATCATAGTAAAGGGGATTTATTGTGAGGAAAAAATGCACACTGATTAAGAGGAGCATCCACAGAGGTGGCTGAAGGTCAGGAACATAACCATTCATCGCTGAACATGACTAGGGGCAGCAGCATCACCATCACTGGGTGGTGGAGCTGCTCTTATTCCACCCCAACTGCTCAGAAACCTTCTGTCACCTGCTGCAATCATGAGCTGGATGGTTTCTTCGTACCTGCTCCATAAGCCTTTGCAGGATCCCAGCGCAGCATAATGTCAGCTGCCCCGGCCCTGACAGAGCAGGGAGAAGCAGAGGAAGGTTACTCCACAGAGTCACAGCTCATCCCAGCTCATTCTTTGCCACTGCTGCCACTTCACCTCTTACTTCCCTGCATTAATTTTGCCCTGCTTTTTCTTTTTTTTTTTTTTTTGGAGTACAGCAGTGGCTGGGTGTGCATTGTGGGAGAGGGCTCTGGCAGGGGCTGGTGGCATTCACCACTCAGCATTCCAATCCTGCTGCCCCAAGGAGGGAGCATGGAAAGCAAGAGCAGCCAGATCCGCTCATGGTATTATTGTTGGTGGGAGAAAAACCAGCAGCAGTCCCTCCGCTTGGATTGTATGGACACAGTGCCATCTTGTGGGGCTGAGCGGTGGCTCCAGCATGCTGCTGCCACCACGGCGAGCAACTTCGCGTGGGAAAAGGCTTTCCTGTGGGGTGGCTCTGACAAAGACGTTTGGCAGACAGAACAGACTCTTAAAAGTTGTTGTAACATTTTATGTCAGGTAAGCACATCTGCTTTAAAAGAAAAGGAAAAAAAAAAAGCTGCAGGCTTCTTATCCTCCAGTTATTGCTCTTTTTTAAAATGCGTATGATTTTAGTTGTTCACCTTTGTACCCGAGCAGTCTTGCTGCTCTCCACGCCATCTCTTCATTACATGTTGATTACTAGCGCTATAAATAGTATATATATTATATAAATATATATAAAATATCTACTGACTTCGAGGAAAACCTTTAATTTCCAAGTAAACCATTTATCGGAGGCAGTCCTTTTCACCTGTTTTTTTTTCTTCAGTTCTTCTTGTGTTGTGTTCTTGTAAAGGTGACTGTCAGTGTGTAGGGTAACTTTGGGGTTCGGTTGGGTTTTTTTCCAAAATTTCTGAATCTTGAAAATTTTGCAGCAGTGAGGGTCTCCCAGTATTTGCTTCCAGGGAAGGCTGAGACTTTTTTCCGTCTCACTGGCAGAAATGCAGACACTCATGAGACATGTTGGAGTCTGCAATACCCACAGAGCAAAACATGTCTGTTCCTTGGGTTTCTTGCTATTTCTGTTGCTTACATATAGAATAAATGTATTTACATGCTGTAAGCCAGTCATTGTGGACAGTGTCCTAATGTCTTGTATTGCTACCTACAATAAGTTTCTTTTTTGTTCTCTTTTTTCTTCTTTTGGGGATGGGGGTATGGGAAAGGGAGGGGTGGGGGGGGGCCCTTAGACCATTGTATGCTCTAGCCAAGTAGTTACCACAGCTCTGAGGTTAATTTTGTACACGATGATACTGTTGAGGTTGGCTTGATTTTGGATTTGTTTTTTTTTTAATCTCATGTCTAGGACACTTTGTAAACTATCTTACTGAGTGTTCAGAAGTTTTTTTCAGGAATTACTCTGGCTCTCATCTGGCCATGAAGTAACTTACTGTTTGCAGGCTGGCTTGCTTAATACCAGGCAGTACAAAGATGTGAGTGGTTTGTGAATGGAAACCAAACCTTTGGCCCTTCTCCCACAGGGATTCCAATGAATTACTGACTTTGGGGTCACCACCACAATCCATTCCTAGCTTGTGCTTGAGTTAAAAAATGAGCTGCACTGCAGATTTTTAAATGCTGGAGTATGTATCTTAGACATCCTCCGAAGTGGGAATTTAACAGAAATGTGAAGTGTCTGTGTGTGTGTGTGTGTGTGTGTGTGTATGTATACACACAGACAAAAGAGGAGAAAACAAAGGACTAGTGCTGGAGGATTTTAGCTCTGATGTTAGTTATGGGCATCCTCTTATTACCAACTTTTGCTTGGGAAGGGAAAGGTCAAAATTCAGTGTTGTATCATCACTGCAAGGTCAAATAGGCAAAATATCAAAAACCAACAGAGTAAGAACTGGCAAGTAACTAGAATTGGACTTGAACCAAAGTCATGGAAATGAGCCCTCAAGTTTGGTAGCTCAAGCTCCTTGCTTGTAGAGGAGCATTTAGTTTATTTATTTACTTGTCCTTTAAGCTTGACACTGCTCCCTGAAAACTAAAAATCCCTTTATCTGAAAGTCCTTTGAGAAACTCTGTGCAAAAAAGCAATGATAATCCAGAGCTCCCACAAACCTCTATCCTAAATAGGTATTTCATTTATTCTGTGGTGCTAGCTAAATGTATTTAGTACTGGTTCAGTCTCCTCAACTGCTTACAAAGCCTGCCTTCTTCTCTCAAAGCATCCCATACCATGGCATGTAAGTACTTTCTGGATGCCTGAGAAGAAGCAGGATGTAATCAGGCAGGGCCTTGCCAGAACGACGAGGTAGCTCTCCAAGCACTGGCACTCTGGTCCCCAGCTGCCAGCTTGCAGCTGATGGGACAATAGCCCCTAGATGAGAAAAGCTTGCACAACCCCCAGAGCTTCTTTGGCTGCTGCCAGCTGGCTCTTGCTACCGTTTGCCAGTAAATTTGGGAGCTTGCACGATACAAATGAAAAGCAAAATCAGTCTGGAAAGTAAACAAAATTAGGAAGAAGAGGCAAAACACTCTTCTCCCATAGACCTTCCAAAGTACCTTGCAAAAACACTGGAGCTGAGAGCCAATAACCTACTTTGAAGCACGGTGTGTAACACAGCTGAGACAGAAGTTGTGGCATTACCCAGCATTACTCTTTTCACATATCTGCATGGTAGACTTTTTTTGCTAAAACATATTCTGTTTGTTATTGTTAAAGAGTGAAAAAAAAAAAAAAAAGTTAAGATGGTATCTTCAGTACCTTTCCAAAGCAAAGAAGGAGGACCTGTAGGAAATGAAACATCTGTGCCACCCAGATGTATCACATTTCTCCCTCCTCTTCCCATGTCACAGCTCTACCAGGGTTCATGGGATTTGTTTTCTTTGCTATTCAGATCTGGAGAAATATTTTTGATTTTGATTTCCCTATTGCTGTATCTTCTATGCAATTCCTTTTTCTAAAGACTGACTGACTACAGGAGAAGTGCTAGCCATTGCATTATTTGTATTGCTGTACAGTGGAGATGTGGTTTACTAGTTCTGAGTGTGCCTCTTACCCCCCTCCCTTTTTCTCCTTCCCCCTGTTTGTAAATGCCTGCATTTATTCTGTCAGCCTGACATGTACAAAGTGTAAGAAAGAATTTTTAAACAGGTAATAAATTATATTTATAAGCAACTGAAAAAAAAAAAAATGGACCACTACTTTGTGTTCAATTGTTTAGTTCCTGGAAGCTTGGATGGAAAGTGGAGTATTTTATTTTAAATTTCTTTAAAAAAGAAAAAAAATCTCCTCAAAAGAAATGTTACTGCACATACAAACTCCTTCTGATGCACTCTCCTTCAAAAGATACCCTTCATGACATCCACATGCCCTTGCAGGCTGTTTCACTGCACTTTTATAAATCCTCGTCTCCCCAGCTGCTAGAGGGGAGCTCGCCCCAGTCAGTCTTCCTGGGGTTTGCATTTTGTGGCCACAGTCAAAGGCGGAGAAAAGCAACAGGCAAGAAAATGTATCCTTTGCCTGAGAAGTAAAATAAATGCCAGTTGGGCAAGGTTATTTTGTCCAGCAATACCTGCTTATGTCACCCACGTTGAGCCAGATGGATACGGTGCTCAA